AATTACACAATCAACAATAAGCAAATGATTCTTTTAGATGGGATCATTTACTTATTACGTCCATCGGTAATCATCAAAATGTTGCAACTTAAATTTTTTTTAAAGAATAGGAAGGGGGTCTGAAAATCACAGTTTATCATGAACGTCATTACTAAATGAACCCCTCAGTTCCTGTTCACTTATGACGTCCAGGGGGGGGGGGGTGGGTCAATAAAAAATGAACAATAGAATTTCTGGATATTAATTTTTTTTTTAAAATTAGAGTTAATTTCAAACGTCATAAGTGAACGATCCCTTAAAAAAAGTTCTAACAATTTTTTCGCGTCTGACTTTATTACAACAATCAGATATGATTCACAAAAGACAATTTTATGAATAAATTTGTCAAGTCGCTCACACTTACACGCCGAGACATTTTCATTGACTCACTCATAAGATTATTAATTGACGTGCATACAAAAAGATCGCAACCAAAAACAAATAAAACGAGAACTTTTTTTTTCATTTGCGGAACTACAGAGAAGTGATTTTTCTACATAACAATAAAGAATAAAATATCATAACAGACAGTCGAGGTAAATGTATAGACCCACACTGTCGGAACCTTGACCGACCGATTCATTCCGATATTTTTGTTTTGTTTGTGTCTACTGTTGCAGGGTTAATAAATATCTGTGCAATATGGTTGACATTAGATAGCTGCTGCTAACTGTTAAATTAACCGTTCGTCTGAGGTAATAATTCAAAGGCTCAAGTCAGGCTTGTTGTCATGCTTTATGTCTCAATTGTTTCTTACCCATTATTTATAGCTTCATGTCTCTTATTCATGGAAATACCGAGAGAGTGAGAGGAAAATATATTTTTTGTGGATCATGTCCCACAAAAAATAAAAAATATGAAAAAAAGATTCTTTCACTTTAAGATTTTAATTTATGACTCATAATTGTTGTGATTTAAATACTTTTTGCTCACATTACGATGGGAAAAATTGATTCAGTTCTCAAAGGGAGGTCGTGCTAAAATGATGTCAAGTCAAAATATGTAGGATTTTTACCAACTTCCTTGCTTTGTAATAATACATCTTAAGAGATGAGCTACATAGTTTCGAAATCTCAGAAAAAAAGCCCAAAAGGCGATATAATTCGATTAGACTGAAGATTTTGTCCGAGCTCGGAAACTAGGCGGTATTTTAAAGGCAGGATTTAACGTTTTTTCATATATTTTCCAATCAGATATTTGATCTATCATGAAAGCTCAGTTTAACAGATTCTGAGGATTTGTGACAGCTCAAACGTAAGAAAATTTACTTACTGGATGAAAGATCTGAAATTCAGCAATACTTTGAGGTTTACAGACAATTTTTAATGGCACATAAAGCCCTTATCTTCTGTTACTTCGCCACTAGCTTCAATAAAATAATTTAAGAAAGAACGATGGTTTTTTGGGCTACCTTGGATATCTTACCCTACAAATGCTTGATTGTAATCAATATAGGTGCCATTATGAAGTCTGTTCCCAGTCAGAATATTTTTTGTGATATTTTAGAAGTTATTGATTTCAATACTAAACATGCTGGATGCAAATGTAATTCACTTATCCTTCTATAGATTAAACCAAAATTCCAGGAGATTCCACTTAACATTACAAAAACATCACTAATGAATATCCCAAACAGAAAATCGACGACATTGGGAAATGATCATGCTTCAGTATTAAATTATAATCCAATTAAGCAATTTTTCATCTCAGACTCATAAATCAGAATATCAATTGAGACACACTTTCAGCATTATTCTCCTTGATCGAATCTCATTTTGTCACTTTCAATTTAGTGTAAAAAAAATAATTGCTAACAATCGCTTCACGATTATTGCCTTTATATGCTTCACAAGATTCGCGAGTAACTATTTGTTTAAGTATTGATGAAAAATAAAAGAGTTAAATAATTTAAATTGTGTCATGGACGTGAAAAAAAAAGGTTTTCTGAGTTAAATAATTTTCAATGCACCTCTTTGTGTCCAAGCCAATTGATTGCCATCTAAATAAAGAATATTATCGCATTTGTATTGGATTACATATTACAATGAGTAATGCAATTACTCTTTTATGGAATCGAAATCACTGCCTTTTATGAAGTTATCAATGGATTTACAATGGATAAAAAAGAACAGAATTTCATTGATTTGTTTTATATTTTTTTAAGCTTGGCTTTTAATGCCTTGCACGCTAAAATATGTTGACAATTCGCATTTTTATTTTACCTCAAGAAAATGTCAATGTACGTAAAATATAATCATGTATTTCATCATCATTGATGTGCTATATGCGTACTGAAAATGAAAAAGTGAAAGATTAATTGAAAAAATCATTTCTTGTGATCTCCTCCGTGAAAGTTTCTTTTATTTTATCGTTTCCTATAACATTTTTTTTGTTAATTGAAAATAAATGTTTTTGCACATAATTCACAATGATTTTACATTTCTTCCTCTAAATAGCGAAGCGGCAAGAAAGCATTAAGTAAACTTTTTTTTCAAATGATTCATTGCAGTAATGCAACGGAAATATTGCAAAGGCACAAAGTGCTCGTTCGTGAAACGCCAGAAGTAGTTTATTAGAATTTAAATAGTGGCAGTTGAGATTGGGTTTGTGAGGTAATTTTTTTGGGGTGTATTCGGACCGTGCATGATGGAAGTTTACGAAACTATTTTAATTTGGAATCTCTTACTTTCCGTACCCAATTGTATCATTATGCTATGCCATATGTAACGTGTGGTCATGAATACGGTAAATTTTAATTAAAATTGAATGACCAGTGACAATATCTTCATTCTGATCATCAATTTCGGCTGCCTTTAACAAATTCATTCAAAAGTTTAATACCTTTGCCTTTACCTATTGATGATAGCATCACAAAATGCCAAGAAATGCATTAAAAATATTTTAAAAAGCATTAAAATCTTGAAGCTCATGACAAGAAATTACGACTCGACACACATTCTGTAGATCCCACTGCCATTTAGAATCTAAAGATAACTGGCATTAATAATTTATAAAGAGTAAATCAACCCACAGCAATCAAAAGACCACAAAGAGAATTAAATTTTAATTACGGGTGCGAATATGCAGGTCTTGTGCAGGTCGATCAATATCAACACTTAAAATACTTTTTAAAGGAGTTTTTTTTAACGATTTTAGGTATTGGGTTCGTTCATAAATGATGTTTTATTTTTTAAGAGTGCTTGTGAGAAATCTGTAGATACATATGTGAACCTACAAATTTAATAAAATTCTTATGAACAATTTGTGACAAAGGAGAAAGGGAGAGTCAAAAAATGCCATTTTCGATGGACATCATTTTTGTACAACCCCTTGAGAAATTCTGTATTTTTAAAAAATTCATTCAATTTTTTCCTGTCTATTTTTATTACATCTAAGAATTATCAAAGAAATTGAGCATAAAGAAAGCGAAGTCATGATGTGGTCGCAGGCAATGGCAAGCACATAAATTACCTTTTGAACTTTTTCCGTTTTCTAGCACATAGACAAGCTAACAATTTTAAGTGTATGCGCCATCCCTCAATTCCTCTTCTTCTTCTTCAATTAGACCACACACAATGGGATGCGATGCATCAGATTCACACAGCATTTTTGTTTTCGATGTTGTACACAGATTTTTTTTATGTCTCTTTTTATCTTTCATTTCTAACATATCACGTCGATGCATTTCAAAGTGGACCTTTCGTGGTCTTTCGTACAATATTTCTTCTGTGTTATGGGACGTTTTTTGGGACACTTTTTAGAGAACCGCATGATAAAAAATGAGATAAAGAAAACATGGAAATTTTTTTATGTCATTCCAGAAATTTAAAATTTAAATTTGGATTTTTAGACAATCTGAGTTACAAATCTCATTCAAAAAGTGATGTCGAGATTTTCTGTTAAACTTCAGTCTTGTAAATTAGACATCATTTATGAACGAACCCCTTCAATTCTTTATTTGTCATCTATTAAACTGCAGTTTGTATGGAAATGAATCTTTCATATTTTTATGGTTATTTATGAATGTCTGCATATAAGGAGACATTAAATTGGGGGCAATGTCACAAAATGTATCAAGAGAATGGAATGTTTTGTGGTGGATGAATCATTCAGAAATCATTATCTACGGTGCGAAAGACAGCTGGACAATATCTCAATGCTAATGCAACATAAAGACTTTTTTCATTAATTTTAACATCATTAACCCATGTTATTGCATTGTAGACATGCACGGTGATGGAATTTGAGATAATTTTCAGGAGTCCTTTTGTGAATGTCTTGTTGAATATGTAGTCACTATCTTCAGGTGGAATTGGAAGACATAATTTTGATGATTTCACGTGAAAACCATGACAAGTTCCCATTCTGACCATTTTTGAGACATTTTTTGTATGACAAAGTTTTTTGAGGATTCTTTTAAGCACTGCCGGTCCATTGTAGTTTCCTAATGAAATATTAAAATGTCGAATTTGTTCCTGCATGACAGTTTCAACTAGACGATATCCATAATTCAAATCAAAATTAAGAATTGAGTTGCTTACAGTCTTTGAAGACACAGCGCATGCATAGTTGGTACCTAAATGCTTAAGAGGTCTCATTACAATAACATCGGAATCTAGATATGTTCCACCATATTTCCATAACAATAGCAAGCGATAAACATCGGATGTATGCTCGTAGAAATATTTTGACTTTCTTAATTTTCCGCTCATAATGAATTCCTCAATGGGCGTGTTGATTACAAATTCATAATAATTTAACATAACGAATTTAATGTTTGAATATGTCGATAATAGAGCAATTAAATGTTTTGTCACTTTCAAAGTTAGTTTGGATTTCTGAAGGGTGATGAAGACGACCATAATATTGAGCTTTGGATTTGCTAGCGCTGAAATCGAAAATATTTAAAATATTTATCTTTGATTATCGCATTTTAATATGATATTAAATATTTTATTCATCTTTTATGAGTCTAAACTTAATTTTTTCCCATACCTGCTGATTCAATGCTACACAATTGACGAATATTTAATGATTTTACGCTATCAGCAGCATAAATATTTTCCACATCAATGAAAAAGATATTTTCACTATTGTCTGGTCCATCGTCAACAATATCTCTCAATTCAATGAAAAACTCGAGAGAATCCAAGTGCATTTTAATAAGAATTATGAATAGAAATATGAGTATTGGTAATAAAACTCGTTGAGATAATCTATTTGAATAGAGTTTCATTTTCAATACTTTTGTGACTGAATCACGAATGACTAAATGGAACTGGGATGTACACACTTTGGCTGTGACATGAAATAGTTTGCTTGTTTTTGATGTATTAAGTTACAAAATCGTGTAATGATGTAGAATAACATGAATAGGAGGTATTCGAGAGTTTTGTAGCTTCAAAATTATTTTTGGATCCTCTTGCCACTATAGTGGGTTCTTAGTTCCCTCAGCTTTCATTAATAAAATATTATTCCAGACTCCCCAATCCTCAAACCCGAACATCATACATAAATAACCCCAAATTGCCTCTAATGACATCAGCCTCATATTAAAATTTACTATCAATTGCGTCAAAAACTTTCAGACAATATTGTTTAGCTAGTTCCGTGTAAAAATTTCTGTCATTTTTTGTGGTATCAATATAAAAAGTTAATCCATTCCACATATGAACAGTCACGGCATTTTTGATATTTTGCATCAAAATTTCTGTGTAGCTTTCGTTGAAAATATTTTTGTAGAAAGTCGGAAGAATTGGATAGCAAAGTTGCCTAGAATGGACATGAAATCCGTCACAATTGTCCATTTTTATCATTTTTTGCGTACGATTTGTCCCACACATTTTTATCAGCTGATTTGTAAGTAGAACGGGACCATTAGTTCCATATTGTATTGGATTGTAGAGATTGATTTGCTCGTGAATCAAATTTTCAACAATTTTTCGTCCATCTTCCGCATCAAAATTAAGAAATGCATTAGCAATAATTCCTCGTTCACCATCCGCACAAGCGTAATTTCTTCCCAGTTCATCAATTGATTTCCTCACGATCATATCTGAGTCCATATATGTTCCAGTGTACTTCCATAGCAATAGAAATCTGAATATATCACTTGTGTGCACAACTGGATACTTTGAGTATCTAAGACCACCAGTTAAGATGAACTTACCGGCAGGTGTTTGTGCAGCGAAACTTCTTAATTTAGCCATAACAATATTTACATTTGGATATGATAAAAGTGCCATGAGTTGCTCGTTCATTAAAAGTTTCACTGATCGATGGGCAGATACAAATACAATGTAGATCTTCATATGAGGATTAGCACGTGCTGTAGATATTTATTTTAATCCATTACAAACAACATCTCATAAATCACATATCAATAATCACCTGCTGATTCAAATGAACATGCCTGCCTTAGACCAATGAAATTTGGTGGATCTTCGAGTACATGAAGTGCCTCGATAAAGAAAATATTAGTTCCATCAATCGTTGGCTGATTTTTAATCTCCAAAATGTTTTCTAAATTTAATAATTTTGTTGCCAAGATAACTTTTGGATACTTTGACTTTAATGTTGTTCCATTTTCCAGCGTGTCATTGAAAAAACTTCCGAACGTGATTGAACCAATTGAGGCTTTATAGAATCTCATTGTTATAAGGATGTAAATTATAGACACAATAAATGCAATTGTTACTTTGTAATGTTTACCAATTGATTTAATCGCTTCCATTTCGAACTTATTTTTGCGATCTATCTGTTTCCTTACCTATTATGCGACTAAATGTATCGTGCAATACATTATTTCTTATTATTCAGCATCTGTTTAAACTAAAATTATTCAAAAAGTATGGCAACTAGTAACCATGAAAAAAACATATGAATGAGATGAGATGCAGCTACTCTACGTTCATTTATTATTTTATTTATGTACATTTTTAAAGTGATATGGGTATTATAAATATTCATGCTTCCTTATCGATTTAATTTCGAATGAATTTTACATAATCGTTAATTTTCATTTTTTTGGGTGTATTCTACAAATTTACAACAAGATGAAAGCATGCATGTTGATATGAAGCATATAAGGTTGGGAGACAGTAAAAATGTTTAATGCATCAAACTCAACTTTGACAGATGAAACATTCTCTCAATAGTCAAAACAATCAATCTATGTTGATAGTTTTCAGGTTTTTTAAGAATCTTGTAAAAGGAAATATTTCTTGTTGATATGTTCGGTGACAAAATCATGATTTTCTGACATTAGTCATGTTTTTTGAGGTTAAGTTTTTTTTCAATTTAATTTATTTTAAAATTTTATCCAATTGATCAGTGTTGGGTGAACATTTCTGGTGACATTCATAACAATTTGATATTATTCTTACAGTTTTCTTAATTTGTCTTTCTTAAAAACAAGCTATAAAATACATTCTCACATACTTGAAGGGATACTTTATTTGTTTAATATGCACTAATTTCCAGAAATTGCTTTAAATTAAATAAACGGTCCAAAGAATAGAAAACCAAACAAAAAAAGTTTCTTTTCTGATCAGTTTAATATGAAAATCAGTGATGCAAATGTCTATTATGGCAAACATAAGCATCATCAGTTTGGAGATTATTATATCATAACCATCCTGCAAAATCACATCATTTCAGAAAACAAACACAATTAATCATAAAAATTAAATTTCCTCAGACGCGTCTCGAACTCGCGACCTTATGATTGGCACACTTACGCATGCGAACACAATCACTAACCGATTTGTCTGTTGCTAAATTATCTGTCGTAATTTTCATTTCGCTTATGCTCATATTTTAAGTTAAATATGTGAATGTCTCTAATTTGATAAAGTCTTTCGTGTTTAGCTCAGTTTAGCTCGATTACAAATAAAAATTGATCGCTGATGGTTAATAAATCAATTGCAATTGATATTAATGAAGTTTTATTATACTTGAGTTAATGACACTTGAAAATATTATTTTGGAGGTTAAAATTATCAAACAAAGAAAATTTCAACATAAGATTATGTCTTCATGTAAATACAGGTGCTTATCTCTACGGATTAAAATTATCTCACATTAATTTCCCGCTTTATACTGTTGAGTGGATCTTTTAGTATCACAACATACATCATGATTTTTGTTGACTTTAATTTATCAACAATTGAAATCAATTGAGCAGCACTACAGTTGGTAATAAATAATAACATGAAGTTCATACCCTCATCTCATTTTATTATACTACAACACGCCTTAATTACATATAATATTTAAGTTTTTTGGTGGCATTAAGCATGATGATATGCTGAAAATAAAATAAATTTCCGATTTCTACTGATCTAGTTTCGTATTTTTGGTAATTATTGTATGTTCTCTGTAAATGCAATAAATTGAACACAACAGGCAGTAAACTGCTGCTATGGATTATTTCATTAAGTTTCTTTTGTATCTTTTGATTTATTGGATTTTAATTCAATTTGACAGTTTTTTTCATTGCAATAACATTCTCAACTTATAGAATCGTAATTTGTCATAGTATTAGTGTCATAATAAATGAGCATCATCTTGTAATAAAATAGTTAGAACTGAAGAAGAAGTGGAAGAGAAGTTAAATGAGTTTAATTTCTTATCATGATGCGTCAACTTTATGTTTACGATTTAACATAGCTTTAATGCACTTAAGTCATAAGATGATATTTCTTTTTTATATCGTATCAATATGTTTCCTCTAGTCAACATAAAAAGGTAGAGAGAAGGTAAATGAGAAAGACGACAATAATTCTCAATTATCATGCATATGCACCGTCATATCATTTTTATATGTTCAAGGGGGTGTCAAATAGCTTAGATTTGATGGATTTATGGACAATATTAAGATTAGAATTTGAATAAATTTTGGAAGTGCCCATCCTCACAATTTATAAGGGTTTCAAGAATTTTTAGGGATGATTCACACATCAAATATCCAAACTAGTGTGCATCCCTTGAAACTTTGATCTGATACTTTGTAGATATCCACAAACTTTTTAATGCATATTAATTCGTGCTACTTGGCATTTTAGCGTTCGCACGAATGAAGGTTGTTCTTTGACGATTGATCTTTAATGGCAATGAGTATACAAGAAGCTGTCAATAGGAAAAGAAAGTAAAAAAAGAAGACGATATGCTTAAGATGAAAGAAGTTTTTTATTGTAAATGACGTAACGGTTAACAGAACACTTTATTATAGCACAAATGCCTAAATGTGGGCCTTCTCGACTACGCAATATAACATACATTTTTGCTGAACCTACAAATTTTCTATGTTTAAAATTTATTAGACATTTATTGACATTTCAACATAGAGATTGTAGGTCTCTAAGTATTCATCAATTTTGATGACTTTTATGAGAATCTCCCGAGTGGCACATGTTGATGTTGATTGTAATGTTGTCTAAGGGTGAAAGTGTACTTAGAAACAATTTGGAGTCACTTGATATCCATTTAAAAATGCCTGTTGATTGGCTTTAAGACATTCTAAATAAATTATACGGCTGACAACCTTAGAATGTGTTTTGATCGGGTTTTTAATAGGTTCTTGAATTTAAAACGTGAACTTAAGTTCTGGTGGGCTTCGTCAATAAAGATTTAGTGTATAATAACTTTTAATGGAATTATAAAGACAAGAATCAGCTGTTTTGAAGAGTTGCATGACAAATTTTAAGAATCTCACTTAGTTTTCATGAAATTATGTCAAGATTTTCATCAAAACAATTCTAATCAAATTTACAAAGCAAAATTTAAGAACATCTTCGTGAGATTCATTCAGTCATGCCAGTTCACTTACTTAATTAAGCAAGATAATCTATAAAAAGTTCTCATTCACAATTCTTCGTCTATAAATTAATCCAATTTATAATTTTGATAGTGTCTTAATGAATTGGACTCTAATAATCTTAATGAAGCAAACATTTAGACACAAAACTATCAAAACAATGGGAAACTTCTCTTCATCTTATTCCGTTTTTTTTTTTGTTGACGAGAAGTTAATTTTCAGTAGCTAATTTAATTAACACCGCACAGCAGGTGACTGAACCTTCACAACAAATCTTAATGTCTCATAGAAACAAAGATGAATGTTGAACATAATATTTGCGTGAGTCTGTTCCTGTACATGATGTTATCGGTTCGAATTCCTCATCTTTTAGCCTCGAATTAAGAAAGTCTCATAAAAGCAAAAAAAAAAGGCTGAATTGAATGAGTGCGAAAAAGATTCTCAGTTTAACTGTATAATGATGTTGGATATAAATTAATGATCATTGCAATTCTCATGTTGAGAGCTCTTTACAGCTTTATTCTATCAGAAATGTTAATGAATAAACATCTGGTTATGTTTACTTAAGGTTTTTTTAAATTCCTATACTCGAATGCTATTTCAATAATCTTTTCTATTTATTATTAACTTCTATGATAAATTAATACAATCGAGGCATTCATGTGAAAAAGAAAAGAGACACTGATGACCTAACGGTGGGCAATGAAAGTAACTACGGATAAAGCATAGCGCGACGGAAATATGGGTTAATTTTCAAAATCAAACAATCTTGTTTAACATATTAAAAATTAAATGATCTCATTAACTTTTCTACCTTTTTTTTCGATTATGAATTTATTTATAAGACATTTAAAAAGTAAACGTTTAAATAAATTTATCTATGCACGGCGCTTAGATTATTCTTTCGTGATATTAAAATGATAAATGATATTTTGCGCGAACCAGGGGAGCGTTTTGTAAATTGAAAATTAAGTCGTTAATGGAAATTGAATAAATGAAAGAGGTTAGGCTTGTCTCGATGGGCTTTCTTTTGGTGTAGTTTGGGTGCATTCTTTGGATGTGGAGCGCAGTACGTTTGATTGTTTAATTAAGTTTTGAATATAATCTTATTTCAGTATCTTAAAATATTTGTTAAGTATACAAACTTTCGTATCTGACAGAGGAGAGTTGAATCTGGTGTATCGAGTCATATACAAGATAATCTAGTTATGGTGAGTAAGGCTACTGAATGACGTGGGTTCGAGTCTCATCATAGACGGATCAGTAATTTTGAAGTGTTGTCGATTTGACAAAAATCAACGACTTTACAGCCACAAGGAAGCTATTTTTGAAATGCTAGAAATAGAAACTTGAAGATAACACAACTTTAAATGAAACTATCAATTTCTTCTGTACCAAACAAGTATGTTGCATTCTTCACTATATGTAGGACATTAAAAATATTTCAAGATATAAATCCAACTTTATTGAGCATTAAATGACATATGAAAAATATTTTATCAGACCTTAAAAATCTTCTAATCCTCAATGTAATAAAAAGTAACAACAATACCATGACGGGTTGAATGGGAAAGTGTTAGAAAAGTAATAAAGACGCTGATCCAAGTTGATATCATTGTAAGAAGATGTTAATTCCATTAGATTATCTTCTATTTTTGAAAATAAATAGAGAGGAAATTTTTTTATTTTGTTTGAAGGCATTGAAGAAACATTCCAAACATATTCTATGCTACATGCAACATAATTCACATGAAATTCTTAATAATAAACAAAACTTTCAACATCTAATGGGATAAAAACTCAATATTCTCGATATTAACGACTCTATTAAGAAATTGACAACGGAAAAACATTCTAAACCAATGCAATTAAGACACAGAGAGAGTCAATAGACACAATCGCGTGCAACAAAGTTTCAATTTCATTCATTCGACAAAAAAAAAAACC